TAACAAACCAAATTTCTATAACCTTGTATAATACTAATCTTTAAAATCTTTTAGTTAACTGTTATTTCCTTGTCTCTTACTGCCATGTTGTACCGGAGCAAACACACATCATTCCAGCTTTAGATCAGCATCAGGAACAACAGCGAGCTCCTGCAGTCAGAGGTCGTGGGACGAACACATTTATGTAACTTCATACTATAAACTCTCATCTTCTTCAGCTTGGCTGCCACAAGCCCAAACAGATTTAGCCTCATTAAAGTAACGACGAAACAACTATATTGTCTGCAAGCATGAATCACAGGTCCTCACAGACTGATGAGTCACTGTATCAAACAAGCACACTCATGTCCTACAACTCCTTGTCTCACAGTGAACCCACTTTTCGTGCCCTGCTCCTGTCACTCGATAAACAGACCTTTTTAAAATTATTTACAATAATTTATAGTAAAATAATATAAATGTCAGACACTGTCCACGACCTAAAGGTTGAAGTCAGGTGTGTTAGTCTGTATTTCACAGAATGATGTAAAATAAGCAATCAGTGAAGTTTGACTTCTTCAACTTTGTCAAACCTCTTATTTTGTCTTTATTTGAAGCAGCTGTATAAAGCCATGATGTCAATGAAGCAGTCATATGCAAGCTGGTATGTTGTATAATGGTGACAGTTTTAGTTCCCACACTGGGTTCACGTCTCCAGACTGCAGCAGATTGACGAGATACCAAAAGAGCAGGAAAGCTGAAGAAGAGGTGAGCATCGAACATACCACAGAGAGGTGACACGGTTTAAAAACGGAGTTTACACGATCAACATTTAAATGTATAATGTCAACATCAATGTTCTGTTTTTTGTTTTTTCATGTGTGTGAAAGCTTACAGTCAGGGTTGGTGTGGTTAAGGCTCCTGTTTTCTCTTTTCTTTTCCCTTCAAACCTGAACCACTTCCAGCAGGTGGCAGCACCTCCCTGATCCTGATGCCAAGGAGGCCTCTTCCTGTTAAAAAGGAATTCTTCCTTTTCCTGTTAACATTATAGTCTG